TATCTCATAGTCATCAAAAACTTTATTTTTTGGAACATCACAAAATTCCTTCATTAGTTACAATTAGCATTTAAATATTTCTGAAGCTGTTAAATTCACCTTTCAGATGATCATATAAAGTAATAAGCAATTGGAGCATGTCATCACTCATTCCCCTGTCCTAGTTTCCCCCATGGCTGGTTCCCTCTTGAACAGCCACCCATTCTCCTTTCATGTCACCTGTATCTATGACTTTCTCTGCATCCTCACACTAAGATTTCTTCAACACGCTCATGATCACCGTTCTAGTTTCATAATCTGCACACATATATGCTAATATCTAAACATATGTAATTTTAATTTTATATTCTGTATATAATTTGGTATTTTGCTGTTTGAGACTGCCTATTTCATCTAATATTCCTAGTTCCACACAGTTTCTTGCAAATGTCATGATTTCATTTTTTTAGCCAATTAAAATTCCACTGTATATGCATTACATTTACTTTGTCTGTTCATCTGCCAACATCCAGGCTGGGTCCATGTCTGGGTATCATGAAACATGCAGCAATGAACACAGAAGTGCGAGTCTGTCTGTGGTGCTCATTACAGTCCTTCCAGCAAATGTCCTGGGTAATATGGTGGCTTCTAGTCATAGTTTCTTGATTAACTTCTATTAATTCCCTCAGCAGCAAGTATTTAAAGGCTTAAACTTTCAGGTTATTAGCTCTCGGGTTATTATATATTATATTAGTTCAAGTTATTATAGATAATGACTTATCTATCAGAGATTAACAGTTGGAATTTTATCATGGTGTTATGATAGAGACAAAGAATTAGTGGAGAGAGGTAATAGGAGAAAACAAGACAAGACATGAGCTAAATGTTCCAGGTAGAAAAAAGATAGGCAATTCAGGGAATAATTACAGGTTACAGTTATGAAATCTAAGCAATGAATTTTTTTTGGAGTTTGTTACTCTCTTGGGCACACACACAAAGGGCTCTACATTTTACTACAGAGACACTTGTCCAATCATGCTCACTGTTGCTCTATTCATAATAGCCAGAAATTTCAAAAAGCCTAGATGTGCACTAACAGATGAATGGATTAAGAAAATGTAGTACATTTACATAATAGAATATTACTCAGCTTTTAAAGGAAGCAAAATCATAAAATTTAAAAATCATAAAATTTGAATGGAGCTAGAAAGAAAATCATCCTAAGTGAGAAATTCCAGACCAAAAGAGACAAATATGGCACCTATTTCCTTACATATGAATGTCAGCTTTTGAGCCTTTTACAGGCATTCTACAATCCATACAACAGCAGAGGTTAGGTACAGAGTAAGGGAGGGAGCGAAGGATTTCCCAGTGGAGGGGAGTATAAAATGGAGAAAGGACAGGAAGGAGATAAGCAAGGGAGTGGGAGGAGTGACAGCTAATACTAAGGGTCATTTGAGAAATCACATGGAAACCTACTACACTGGAACCAGCTTGAAATATATACATATACGAAAGAAATAAAAATGGAATCACCAAATAATGAGGAAGAAAAATTCCCAACTAGACATCTTTCACCATCAAATGAACCTTCCAGTGCAGAAATGGTTTATATCTAATTGAATTGTTTGTCAAGGAGCCCCATGGAAACCCCCGATCAACACAGGCAATTGCCAAGACTGCTGTGGTTTTCCACAAACTGAGGGTAAGGCCTTGTTGCTGAAAAGAACACCTATATAGCTTGCTGAACACAGAGAAGTGGTGGTAGTCTCTAACTAGAGCCTTCACCCCTACTGACTAGTGTTCAAGGTGCTGAAAGACACTCTGCATGATACCAAGGAGAAAGGTAAACACCACCCAGCTACAAAAGCTTTGATCTACTTGAAGCCTATCTTCAAGACAGACCACTACAATTGTGGGATAAAGCTTGTGGGAGTAACCAACCAATACCTGACTGGATTTAAGGCCCACACCATGAGATGGAACCCGTGTCTAGCCACTGCTAGAGCGGCTAAAAACCTGACTAGATAGGACACAGACCTTTAAGAAAACCAAACACTACTGCTCTGATAAAGGAATATAGCAATAAAATAACTCCTAATGATAGTCTATTATATCCACAAGTCAGTGTCTTGTTCAGCCATCAAGAAACTTCCTTCCACAGATACAGGAACTAATACAGAGAACGATGCGGAGAGAGAAAGAGGGAGAGGAGAGCTAGAGGAAGAGAGGGAGGAGGAGAGGGAGGGAAGGAGAGAGGGAGGGAGGGAAGGAGAGAGAGAGAGAGAGAGATCGAAGAGAGAGAGAGATCGAAGAGAGAGAGAGATCGAAGAGAGAGAGAGAGAGAGCGCGCGCGCGAGAGAGAGAGAGAGAGAGAGAGAGAGAGAGAGATCTTTAGTAAACCCTTCTCTCAGACAGAAAGAGTATAAAGAGCCAATGGAGATGGAAGATCCCAAGGAAACAAGGCTTTCTAGACACAACTGCACCGATGCACATAAGAACTCACAGACTATGGCAGCATGCACAGAGCCTGTATAGATCTAAGCCAGATGAGATCCCAGCATTAAGAGGGAAAATGGACACAAACCCCCATCCCTAGCCCAGAAGCTGTCTCCAAGTGTCACCCATTCTAAAAGGAAAATCCAGTTAATCCAAAGGAGTCCCACTGGGTGTACAAGGCACAGTTGATGGCAGGCTCCAAGCCCAGTAGCAGACAGCCACCACAAATGAACTCAATGGTATTTTTGGAGATGTTCTGTCTCATAATGACTGGTTTGGGCTTTTTTTTTCCCCTTGCTGGTCTTTGACTTATATATTATGATTTTGGATATTATGATTTTATGTTTGTGTGTGTGTGTTTCTCATGCTTTTTTCTGTTTTCTATTTTTAGTATGTTTTAAATTCTAGTTTATTGTTTAAAATTGGCTTGCTTGTTTTCTAAAGAAAAAAAAAAAGGCCTGGATGGGATCTGAGATGAGATGAGGAAGGGGAAATTGAAACTGGAATAAACAAGTACAAAAAATTTTCAATTAAAAATATGGAAATGAAAACTGAAAGTGTGTAGATCCATTACACAGAATCTCAACAGTCATGGACAGGTATACTGTTATTTTTGCATTGAGAGACACTGGGTAATTTCAGCAAAGATGAGGCACTGTGAATGGGTGCCTGAGACACAATGGTGCAGACACAAGACAGAAACCCTGGTGTGAGCGGATCAGGCACTTCATATGTCGCTTGTTGTCACAGTAGCTCTGGAAGACAGATACCACCCTTACCCCTCATCTACGACAGACTTAGAACACAAAGAATCTCCAAATCTAAAGACTTTCAAACAGCTAGCTGAAATGGATAACAGTCCCTATTTGATACAATTGGGAATCATTTGTATGTTGCAGTTGAGAATATAAAACTGTTTGTTTAGTATGGAAAATTGTTGGGATTTTAAAGAATCGAAGAATTGCCAAATGATTTCACAATTATTCCTTTACAAAAGTATTCTCAGAAACTAAAAGCAGGCGCTCAGATTAGTCTATTAGTATTTATAACAACATTATTCAACACTACTTAAAAACAGAGTTCAAATTTTTTATCACTGAATGAATGTATAAGCAAATTGTACACAAATATCATTCAACCATAAGAAGAAATGAACTACTGATATGTTACGACATGGAAATACGTCTAAAACAGAACACATGACAGATATAAAAACCCACATATTACATATGGCATTTCAGAGACAGAAGGCAGACTGGTGGTTGCTAGAAGCAAGGAAGATGAAAAGAAACTACAGAAAGTAAGGGTTGTCTTTACCAACTGAACTCACGCTCTTCTACCATTCTCCATGTTGTAGGTTTACTGATATTCCACACCGCGCAGCTATCTACTTTCCCTCTGAGGCAACAAGGTATCATTAAAAATAACACTGGACACTTTTCAAAGAAAAATAAAACATCACATCACTACACATCAATCTATTCATAGCAGTATAAAACAGCATGAAAAACAGCAGTCTGGTTTTAAAAAGTGGTCACTAAACTAGTGGTAATAAAAGGCAGTGTAAAGTTTTCATAAAGCAATTCAGCACAAGGCATATAGGTATAAAAACTTATGCTATATATTAATAACCTATAATTTCAAAAACTTATTTCTATAGTACTTTATAATAACAATAGTTACTGTAAGAGATTCTAGAGTCAATGTGCACATATGTATTTGCTCCAAAATATAACATCTGCTGTTTGGTGGTCTGAAATTATCGTTAAATCCTCAATTTGAATTCATCAGAATGGAATGTATAAGCTCTTTGTAACCCTTAAAAGGTAAATAACACACACACACACACGCACACACACACTTTAAGGAGTACATTTAGATTTAAAGTTAAATTATTAGTATGTAGAAGGCAGCATGGATTTTTAGAGCTATTTCAAAAGGTAAAAAAATGTTTTTGTGAAACTGTACCACTGGGAAATTAAACATAGCATTTTAAAATTAGATGGCAACAGAATACACTGGCCAATGAATTAGCCAAATGGAATTAGAGGAATTTAATATAGCACTGGCCTTATTTTCTCCAAAATAATGTAAATCTTAATCAATCGTAACTTATACAAAAGTTAAGTAGAAATAGATTATAGCGTTAAATACAAATTACAAAATAAAAAAAGCTTCCAAAAGAAAACATCAGAAAAAAACCATAGACTAGAGTTAAAGAATTTTATTTTACCAAAAGTACAATCCATAAAAGATGAAAATCAACATGTACTTTATTAAAATTAAACTTTAAAACTAAAACCTGATTTATCCATTAAACATGCAAAGAATGAGTTTTTAGCACATATCACTTTATATTAGCAATAAATAGGTGACATTTATCCAAATGTATAATCTAGATCCAAACATATGATCTAGATTTGTGAAAAATTGTACACTAGGAAAAACCTTTTAACTCATGTATAAGCACTCTACCACCCTAGGATTTGTTTATTTCATAAAAGTGAATTGTCAACACTTACCAGCAGCTTCAAGGACCATCTGTAGTCTGGCTTTGGCCTGCTCAGCTGGTGGCTAAAAATCAACCATAAAAGAAATGGACAGTTCAGTTTTAACAAACAGATTGTAAATTAGAGCACTACTAGGTACTGAAAAGGAAGTCTTCCCACAGTCACTATCACTACCCATCCAAACTCTACCACAGTAATATTTCACAACCACTTCACTCACCTTTAATATAAAATCACCTTTTAATTAATATAATCCAAGAATGATAAAACTCTTTGGTTGTTTCCTAACACTGTATCACTAAGCAATAACAGAAATAACTGTAAACCCAATAATAAGGCAAAAACTAGTATATAAGAACAGATTCTCAAATCATATTGCTTCCTCGTATATAGAAATATTTAAGTAACCTATCTAAATTTAAGTAAACTAACAATTGAAGTTTTGCATGTGGGGGAAGTCAGGCCCTAAAATTAAGTATTTTCAAACTGAATTTGAAATGGAAATTGTGCAGAAGATAACATATAATGTACCACACATATTTTCAGTTTCCATTTGCTCCCCTAAAACTGTTGATCAAGAGAAAGTTGACTTAACTCTGGCAATGAGGTTGAAACTAACAAAAATCGCACTCCATCATATAAACAAACTGGAAGACCAAAACCACATGATCATCTCATTTGATGCAGAAAACGCCTTTGATAAAAATCCAACATGCAGTCATGATAAAGTCAAGGAGAGATTAGGAATACAAAGGACATACCTCAACACAATAAAGGCAGTTTACAACAAGCCCATAGCCAACATCAAATTAAGTGGAAAAAACTCAAAGTAATTCCACTACAATCAGGAATAAAACAAGGTTGTCCAGTTTCTCCATACCTATCCTATATAGGACTTGAAGTCTTACTAGAGCAATAAGACAACTGAAGGAGATCAAAGAGATACAAATTGAAAATAAAAAAGACAAAGTACTGTTATTTGTAGAGAATAAGACAGTAAATGTAAGTGACCCTAAAAATTACACTGGAGAACTCATTGTCTACAAAATCAACTTACAAAAATCAGTAGCTCTCCTATATACAAATGACAAATGGCCTGATAAAGAAATCAGGTAAATCACAATAGTCTCAAATAATATAAAATATCACAGGGTGACTCTACTAAGCAAGTGAAAGACTTGTATGATGAAAATTTCAAGTCTTTGAAGAAAGAAATGTAAGGAGATAGCAGAAGACAGAAAGATCTTCCTAGCTCATGTTACGGTGGGATTAACATAGTAAAAATGACCACCCTGTCCAAAGTAATCTACAGATTCATTGCAATCCCCACCAAAATTGCAACAGAATACTTTACAGACTTTGAAAGGAAGATACCCAACTTCATATGGGAACACAAAAAACTGAGGATAACTAAGGTAATCCTGAATAATAAATGATGAAGATCTCACCATTCCAAATTTCAAGCTGTACAACAGAGCTATAGTAATAAAAACCGAATGGTATTGGCATAAAAACACACACTTTGACCAATTGACTCAAAGAGAAGACTCAGACATAAATCCACGCATCTATGGACACCTGATTTTTTGATGAAGACGCCAGAAATATACACTGGATAAAAGGCAGCATCTTCAACTAATACTCCTGATCAAACTGAATGTCTGCATGTAGAAGAATGCAAACAGATCCAGATATATCAATGTGCACAACAAGCAACTCCAAATGGATCAAGGACCACAACAAATCAGAAACACTGAACCTGATAGAAGAGAAAGTGGTGAATAGCCTTGAATTTGCTAGAATAGGAGCAGATTTTTCTGAACAAAACATCAATAGAGCAGGCACAACAATTAATAAATGAGATTTCATGAAACCTAAAAGCTTCTGTAAGTCAAAGGACCCCATCAATAGGATAAAAGGGCAGCCTACAGAATGGGAAAAGATTTTTACCAACTCCATATCCAATAAGGGCTAATATCTAAATTATATAAGGAACTCAAGAAAATAGACATCAACAAAGAAAATAATATAATTAAAAATGGGGTACATTCCTAAACAGAGAATTCTCAATAGAGGAATCTCAAATGGCTGAGAAACACTTAAAGAAATGTTCAACGTCCTTATCCACTAGGGAAATGTGAAATCGAGATGACTTTGAGATTCCACCTTAGCCCCGTCAGAATGGTTAAGATCAGTAACACAAGTGACAGTCCATGCTGGAGTGGATAAGGAGCTTCCATCCACTTGTCCATTGCTGGTGGAGTGCAAACTTGTACAGTCACTATGGAAATCAGTATGACAGTTTCTCAGAAAACTGGGAATAAACCTACCACAAGGTCCAGCTATAAAACTCTTGAACAAATACCCCAAAATTCCTCCATATTACCACAAAGACCTTTGCTTTATTCTTAATAGCCAGAAACTGGAAACAATCTAGATGTCCCTCAACCATAGAACGGATAAAGGAAATGTTGTACATTTACACAATGGATTATTACTTAACTGTTTTTAAAAATGACATCATGAAATTTGCATGCAAATGGATGGAACTAGAAAAATATCCTGAGTGAGGTAACCTAGACTCAGACTGAAAATACAGTATGTATTCACTTATATATGGATGTAAGCCATTAAATGATAAGCAACCTATATAATCCACAGATCCAGACAGACTAGGCAGAGTAAGGGACTAAGTGGCACACGTGGATCTTCCTAGGATGGGAAAATAGAACAGATTTTAAGGTAGACTAGTGGTGGGTAGGGACAGGAGTGAGATGGAGGGAAGGGGAAAAAGGGTTGATGGAGGAAATGTGTGTAAGACAGACAGAATTGAGGGCATTTTAGGAATGATATGCAAACCTAGTGAAGTGGAAACTTCCTCAAATATACGAAGGTGATCTCAGATGAGGTCTCCTAATAATAGAGGATACAGAGTCCTAACTGGCTATTTCTTGTCACCTAAAAGGGCTTCCAGTAGCGAGACCGAGTTCTATTCAATTGAGCTGTTGGCTAAGAGGGTTCCATGGAAACCCAAAACAACTCAGGCTGTAGCTAAGACAACGGTTTGCTCTAGGAAGTGATGTCTGGGTCCCATTACTGAGAACAATACCCACTCAACTCACTGAGCAAGTCAAAGATGAGCTGGTATCTTCATGGAGCCGTCATCCCTACCACCATGCTAGGGTGGGCTTTGCTGATGCAGCTGTTCATAAGTCTTTCTGATCCTGTACATAACTTCAATATTTTAAAACTAATTTGTTTTCCAACTTCAATTTTGACAATATGTTTACTTTGGTCTGCCACTGGTTCCCAATTCTCCAAGAACATAATAGCCATGGCACATGATGGAGAACAGGAAATAACTGTGTGGGCTCAATCTTCTCCTACATTGATATGCGTTGCAGGGTTCACGCTCAGGTATTCAGGGTTGGAAAGCAAGTGACGTTTTCCCACCGAACATCCTGCCAGCCCCATACTGCATTTCAAGTGCATATTTTCCCTTCACCTGCTATAGCACTCAGGAAACATGGTCCTGCCCTTCATCTGCCATATGGTGAGGAAAGTTCCTGTGGCAGGTGGGAGAGCTGGCCTTGCCTGTCACCAGCTTCAGCACTTGGCAGAGTGGCCCTGCATCATGCCTGGCCAACGCAGTAGAGCTGGCCCTGGTGGTGTAGGTGAGCTGCCCACCCCATGCTTACTACAGAGACTGAACTCGCCAGGGCAGTGCTGGAGAGCTCATCCTGGTGTTGAGGATGAGGGAGAGTTGGAGGGCTGATCAACCCAGCACCCACCCCAGCCCAGATGCAGGACTATGAATAAGCCCACCCCATCAACCACCCCACCTATGAGCTGCTGCAGCACTTGAAGGCATTGGTTCTGCAGATCCAAAGCTGCAGGATCTTTAAGACACAGGGCAACAACAGGATATCAAGAGGAGTGCCAGTGATGGCCCAGTATTGATGGTGTACAGAAGTCAAAGGCCTCAAACCAAACCACTGACTCATTGCAATGAACAGTTGCGAGGAAGATGTATGTGCTAAAGAATATACTGTGTGACTCATTGGGCCACACTACAGCTTCCATGATGAAAATTTTCTTTTATTTTAAATTTCATTTTGTTTTATTTTGGGGGGAGGTTGCCAGGGCAGAGGACTGATGTGAAATAATGGGGAGACAAGTGGGATTGAGATGCATGATCAATAAATTTTTTTTTTTTTTTTGGTTTTTCGAGACAGGGTTTCTCTGTGGTTTTGGAGCCTGTCCTGGAACTAGCTCTTGTAGACCAGGCTGGTCTCGAACTCACAGAGATCCGCCTGCCTCTGCCTCCCGAGTGCTGGGATTAAAGGCGTGCGCCACCACCGCCCGGCCTAAAAAAAATTTTTAAAGTTAAATTAGGAAAAAAAAGGCTATATTTTAATTCAGGGCTATTGCAATTTTACTGTAATAGAAAAAGTGATGTTTTTCCTTTTGGTTCTCAGCAAGATTGCAATGTTTTTAAATAAAATATTTTAACAAAATTAAGATTATACAAATTTTACCATGTCAAAACCATAATGTAGTTAGGTTAAGAGAAAAAGAAAAGGTAGAAAAGCTCTTATGTTTGAAATAGCTAAAAAAGGATCGGGGGGGAGGTGGATAATTGGGGACCAAGAGACAAAGAGAGTAGGTTCCAGGGTAGAGGAGAGGAGGCTATGGATAATGTGCAGAGAACTAATAGAGCATCTCTTGAGAAGCCCGAAAACATCACCTCAACACAAGGCAGAAGAAAAAGAAAGACTGCAAGTGGGATGGACACACACAAGGGCAACGGCTAGGAGGAAGGCCAGCATAAAGGGCTGCAAACACTAAAGACATTTTTAATATGGGTGCTATGCACAAGCATTAGGAGTATGTAAACATGCAAATAATATGTACTTATTTTTATTTTATTTTTGAGATTATAATTGCAACAATTCCTTCTTCCCTTTCTTCCACCAACACCTCACAAACCCTTCCCTGCTCTCCTTCAAATTCATGAACTGTTATTGTGCGTGCGCGCTCTCTCTCTCTCTCTCTCTTTCTCTC